CATCCATCTACACATAGATCCATCATCCATCTGTAAATCAATCAGTAACCCACCGTCCTTCCCCCATCTACACCATCCATCAATAACCCACTCATCCATCCATCTACACCCCACTCATCCATCCATCTACACATAGATCCATCATCCATCTATAAATCAATCAGTAACCCACCATCCATCCCATCTACACATCCATCAGTAACCTACTCATCCATCCAACCATCCATCTCTGCATCCACACACCCATCCATCCATCCATCCATCCATCCATCACCCATTCATCTCCCACCTATACACCCATCAGTCATCCATCCATTGATCCATTCTCCCACCTGGTCCCCCATCATTATTCTATGCATCCATTTTCCATCTGTCCATCCATCCACCCATCTGTCAGTCATCCACCTGCCTATTGACTGTTCATTCCATTCACTGCTCCCTTTACCCCCCACCCCCACCCCCACCATCTTTCATTGCTTGCATGGAGTGTCTTTCATCTGCCCGGAGCTCTGGTGGGCAAACAGGATGCAGTAGTGACAAAGACAGATCTGCCCTCATGGAGTTAATGGCCAAGTGACATTCATCAGCAGATCACTCAGCGTACAGTATCAACTGTGCGGTGAGTGAGGTGGCTCATGCCTGTAATCCCAGCACTTTGGGAGGCTGAGGCGGGCAGATCACCTGAGGTCAGGAGTTGGAGACCAGCCCGGCCAACATGTCAAAACCCCATGTCTACTAGAAATACAAAAGTTAGCTGGGCGTGGTGGTGCATGCCTGTAATCCCAGCTACTTGGGAGGCTGAGGCAGGAACATCACTTGAAACCGGAGGCAAGATAGCAGTGAGCTGAGATTGTGCCACTGCGGTCCAGCTTGGGGGACAGAGCCAGAGACTCTGTCTCAAAAACAAAGCAAACACCCCCCCAAAAAAAACAGCGGTGAAAAGGAGTGAACCCCGGAGCTTACAGACCCCAGGAAATCCAGGGGATATCTTTGTGGGAACAACACAGGGACTGTGATTGGAGGGTGAGCCCCAGGGGAAGAAAGTAGTTTTGAGCCGAGCAGACGGCAGGTGCGAAGGCCCTGTGGTGTGTTCAGCCAGCACATCCAGGGAGCAGAGGGTGGCTGTGGTGAGGACACAGAGCTTGGGCGAGGCCTGGGGCCAGGAACAGCTGCCAGGGGTCTTTGAGGCACAGGGTCGATGCGTGTGGATTCTCCGGGAGATTTCCCAGTGGGAAGTACGGTGTTGAGAACAGGACAGGAATGGGGGGAGGGCAGGGAGGAGGCACTGGGCCAGGGAAGTGCCGGGAGTAAAGAGCGGCAGGATCCCAAGATGTGCGGGCCAGAGAGGGTCTGCATGCCCTTCATTCATGCATGCATGCATGCATTCATTCATTCATTCATGGCCTTGGGTCCCCCAGACCCAAGTGGCCTGTCTGTCCTCTTCGAAGTCCCTGTGTAAACAGAACTGGCGCCTGCTGGGACATGTGCCAAGAACAGCATGAACTCGGGGTGCTGAGACGCTCCCGCTTTACGGATGAGGAAACGGAGGTTCGGAGAGGTGAGGAGACTTCAGAGACCATCCCACTGGTAGGGGGGAAGCTCGTTTTAGAGGGCCCCCCTCTCCCAGTCCTGTTCTCTGCGCTGCAAGAGCCTGGGTGCCAGGACTCCTGGCTCCAGCCGGGTCCCCACGCCTGTCTCCTGCCCCTTCCTACCTTTGTACTTCTGACGACTGGAGTCATTAACTCAATAATCCGATTCTTGGGAGCCTGAGCCTGGAGTGGGAGGCAGGAGAATCCTGGGTCGGATTCAACCTCCGGTGTGCTGTGTGGCCTGCATGAGTAGCCTCCCTCCCCGAATCAAATACACGGGGAGATGGGAGGATCTCCCGTGGGGGGCCAGGACCCCCTGGGTAACAGCACCGTGGGGGGACCAGGACGCCCTGGGTACCAGCTAGCGCCTTGCAGGGGCCAGGACACCTGGGGTACCAGCTAGCGCTGTGGGGGGCCAGGACGCCCTGGTTAACAGTGCCGTGGGGGGCCAGGACCTCCAGATACCGGCTAGCGCTGTGGGGGGCCAGGATGTCCTGGGTACCAGCTGGTATCGACTGAGCCCACCCTGTGGCAGGCCTGGAGGACAGCTGGTTCTGTGCGCTCCCTGAGGAATCAGGCTACTCCCCCGTGCCTCGGTGTCCCTATCTGGAAACGCAGTGGCCCTCCTGGGCCTTCCCATTGGGCTAACCTGTGACACACGGACCAGCCGGGTCCCTCCTGGGAACTGACAGACAGTCCTGCTCCTGAGATTGTTTTATTATTACACTGCCGAACCTCTTCCAGAGGCCCCCAGGGCAAGTCATCAGGCCTCACAGGTGCCCAGTGGCCTCCTCAGCACCGGAGCTCGGACTGCAGGCACTTCATTCTTAAACCACCTCCCGGAGGCCACTGTGGGGCAGCCTTGGATTCGGGACTGGCTCTGGAAAGCCTCATGTCCCTGCAGGTCCCCCACCTAGGGCGGTGGAGGCCAAAGCCACCTAGCATGAGGTGCCAGGACTCGGAGTCGAGATGGGCTGTTCGGTGCCACCTGGGCCGCCTCCTCCAGCCTGAGCCGGAATCCACAGGCCCCTGGTCTCCGATTCCTGTAGGGCTGCAGAGGGAGACAGAAGGTTCTGCTGACCAGGAGGACTGCTGTTTACCTACCGAGGGCGCAGCGCTAATCAGCCAGAAGGCCCGGCCTCCTGCCACTGCCCAGCCCGGGGCAGGTCTGTGTCAGTCCATAGCGCAGGTGCGGGGACCCATCCCTGATACCTTTTGGGCCTGTTTCCCCAGCCCCCAAGTGTGACAGGGCCTCGGGATCGGGTGGGGCTTCTGGCTGAGGCAGGCTGTGGTGGGGTCGGGGCTCCGGGGTGCTCTCTGAGGTCTGGGCCAGCGCCCCGGGCTGAGTCTCCTTCCTCACCCGTGAAGCGTCTGAGGAAGAAGGGTGGAAGCAGTCACGAAGGCTGCTCTAGGACGTCGCACGTGGTCATCTGTTGAATGTCACGATGCCCTGGGCTGCCGGAGACGAAGGTCCTGATGCCTGCCCAGCGTCACACCTCGGGAAGGGCTGGCACGAGGACCCAGGCCCCGACTGAGCAGCTCCGGATTTGTGTCCTTAGCACAGAAACAGGCCTGGTGTACACCCAGCGCCTTATTCCCCAACCCAGCGGGGAGGAGAGGCTCTGCCCCAACCTGGGCTGCCCAGCGGTGCTTGGGAGTGAACCCCCACACCTGGGGCTGGCCCGCCATCAGGAGACCTGTCACTGCCCCTTCCTTGGACCCGAGCTGTCCCCTTCCCTCCCTGGGCCCTGGTCTCCCTGTCTACAATGCAGGAGGGTGCTTCTGGGGCGCCTCCCGACCCGTCCGGCCTGCTGACGGCACTGTTCCTGTGGTGATGCTATTCCCCTGTTTGTTTGGCAAATGTTTCTTGGAGACGTGGCTGGCCTGGGCCCTGGGGAGACTACAGGGATGAGACCTCCTCCCAACCCAGGGCCCAGCAGGGGCTGCAGATGGCAGCCAAGGGTGTTCTTCATGGCGGCAGAGCAGGGGCTCGGGGGCCCTGCCAGGCTTCCTGGAGGTGGCGGTGGTGAAGGGGAGAATTCCTCTGTGTCCGCCTCCCTGTCAGACTTCGGGGCTGCATCACGGTTGCTCCAGCACAAAGTGGGGGTTCTTCAGTGTTTGCTGGGTGAACAAGGCTGAGATGGCTCCTCCGGCCTCAATTTCCCCTCTGGACGGCATGACACTAACCCCTCACTGCAAGGGTTCGTGAGCAGGGAGGCCTCAGCCCAGCTCCCTCGCTCTCCTGGACCCCTCTTCTGCCACTGTGGTGGCAGCTGCTCCTTCAGCTTGAGCCACTTCGAGACGTGGGGACATTCCCAGAACTCAGAGGCTCCTGGTCAATCAATAATTTAATCAAGCACCAGGCGTCCACCGGCTCCGGGTTGGTCCTGGCGATATGTTATCTTGCTAGCTGGGAGCATGCAGAGGCTGGGAGCTGCTCAGCTCGGTTCCAGAAGAGGAAACTGAGGCGGGGAGGGAGAGAAGGAAGCAGTGAAGGCTGGAGCAGCTGGCAGGAGGTGGGTCGGGGCCTCAGGAAGAGGGACCCCGTGGTCTCAGGAACTGAAGGGGAAGCCTGGGCTTGGATTGGTCTTACCGGCTCTGGGTTTCTCGACCGTGAATCACGCGTTGAATCTTCTCCCTTTGCCCTGACCCTCACACTTTCTTTCCTGCTGATTCCTGCTCCGGGAGTCACCACCCGGCAGCTCTGTGCCGCACCTGTGCGCTGTGGGCCATCCTGCCCCGAATCGCCAGGCCTGGGCCACCTCCCTCCGTCCCAGCTGTGTCCCCAGCGGCCAGGGCATTGTCCAGCATGTAGCCGGTGGTCAGGAAACGTTTGTGTGTGAAATGAAGGAGCAGCCCCCTTTCAGTCTTCCTGGGCGGCTGCTGAGAGGTCACCCCTTGAGTCAGACCAGCTCTCCTCGCTGTTCTGTCCCTGTTTCTGGAAGGAACCCCCCACCTTCCTCATCTACAGACCGGGGATTGCAGTAGGACCTGCGTGCCGGGTTGCATGAGAGTCAGGGACCCACCAGGACGCTGTGAGGCTGGCAGGAAGGAAGGCTGCATCACCAACGCAGCTGCGTTTATTGCTGCTGCTATTTAATTCGTCGCCGTTAGTCGGGAAAGCTCCTCGCCGGAGAAGTGGCCGCAGAGAGCGGGGTTCTGGGGTTCCAGCTCAGCGCCCGGCCAACCGCGACCACCTGCTGGCTTCCCGCCCGCCCCAGTCAGCCCCGATCCCGGCCAGGCTCCTCCCTGCCAACGGCCTCCAGGGACTGCGGGGAGACGGCGCCACCGCCGTCCCTGGGGGGGGGGGGGGGGCGGAGCGGGGCGGGGGCGGGGGCGGGGCGGGGGCGCGGGCGCGGGCGGCGTTACTAGGAGGAATACGGCGGCGGCGGCGGCGGGGCTGGGCGGTTTCCCGCCGCGGGTGAATGAGTCCGACTGCGCGGCCGCCGCCCGCATCCCCGCTCCGGCCGCGTCCCCCGCGCCAGCCCCGGGAGCAACGCGCCGAGACCCTCGCGCGTGTCCAGCCTCGGGCCGGCACCCCGGGCAGGTGAGTGCGGGGGGGCCCCCCGTTCCGCGGGGGCTGCCAGGACCCCACCCGGACCCCGAGCTGAGTCGGGGGCGGGCCGGGGGGACCCCGGGGGCTCGGCTCGCTGCGCTGTGGGCCCCAGACCTCCCGCCCTCCCCCCCACCCCCGCCTGGCCCTGCGGTCCGGGGAGAAGCCACAGGTGGGTGGGAGCGGGGGGCGGAGCTGGGACACCCCGGAGGCCACCCGCAGCGGCGTCTTCCCCGGGGACTGAGCGCGGAACGCTGTAGAACTGGCGCTGGAACGCTCAGAGCCGCGTCGGGGCGAGAGCGCGGCCTCTCCCCGCTTCCCGGAGCTCCCCGGGGAGTCAGAGCCCCCCCCCGCCCCCCGCCCTGGGCTCGGGACTGGAAGTTTCGCGGGATCTCTCCGGAAAAGGGAGGGCGAACCCGCCTCGCCTCACCCCTGCCCTGGGCCGCAGCGCCCGGGAGACCCCGAGGACCCTGCGCCCCGGCGCCCAGCGCGGCCCCACAACCCCCACCCCGGGAGCAGGTGCCCAGGCCCCGCCGCCGCCCCCGCGCCCCTGACCCGGCCTCTCTCCGCAGGCGCCGCAGCCCCGGTCCTGCCGCCCCCATGAGGAAAACCAACATGTGGTTCCTGGAGCGGCTTCGGGGGTCCGGGGAGAACGGCCGCGGCCTGGGGGGCGACGCGGGCGACAAGGCCGCCAAGGGACCGCTGTACAGCAACGTGCTGACGCCCGACAAGATCCCCGACTTCTTCATCCCCCCCAAGCTGGCCGCGGGCCCCGCGGAGGCGGAGGGACAGGCCGCGCCGGGCGCGTCCGCGTCGGACCCGAACCCGGCCCCGGCCTCGGCCTCGCCCCGCCTGGCCCCGCGCAGCCCCCGCCTGCCGGCCAAGCTGGCGGCCGAGAGCCGGAGCCTCCTGAGGGCCGCGACGCGCCACGTGATCCAGATCGAGAGCGCCGAGGACTGGCCCGAGGAGGCCCCCGCCGCGCCCCCGGCCCCGGGCGCCGCGCCCCTGCCCTCGGTGCCCAAGGCGCACACGTCCTACGGCTTCGCCGCGCTGGCCGAGAGCCCGCACACACGGCGCCGGGAGTCCCTGTTCCACAGCGAGCACGGGGCGCTGGCGCAGGTGGGCTCCCCGGGCGCCGCGCGCCGCCGCGCACCTGCCAAGGCCGACGGGGGCCCCGGGGAGGCCGGCGGGACGCTCATGAGCCCGGGCCGCGGCCTCAGCGGCGGCGAGAGCGACACGGGGTCCTCGGCCGAGTCCTCGCCCTTCGGGTCCCCGCTGCTGTCGCGCTCCGTGTCGCTGCTCAGGGGCTTCGCGCAGGACGGCCAGGCCAAGGTGAGCCAGCTCCGGCAGTCGGTGGGCCGCCACGGCTCCCTGTCGGCGGACGACAGCACCCCGGACACCAGCCCCGGGAGCCGGCGCCGCCTGACTCGCCGGGCGACCCCGGAGCCCGGCCCCGAGTCGGGCCAGGCCGCGCGCGCGGAGCACACGGTCCCCCTGGGTCCCCGGGGCAGCGTGCGGCTGCTGGCCGAGTACGAGGCCGGCCAGGCCCGCCTGCGGGTGCGCCTGCTGGCCGCCGAGGGTCTCTACGACCCCCTGAGCGACGCCCGCGCCATCAACTGCTGCGTGGGGCTGAGCCTGGTGCCCGGGAAGCTGCAGAAGCAGCGCAGCACCATCATCAAGCACAGCCGCCACCCCGTCTTCAACGAGGACTTCTTCTTCGACGGGCTGGGGCCGGCCAGCGTCCGCAAGCTGGCCCTGAGGATCAAGGTGGTGAACAAGGGTGGCAGCCTCAAGCGAGACACGCTGCTGGGCGAGAAGGAGCTGCCCCTGCCCGCGCTGCTGCCCTTCCTGTAGAGGGGGGCGCGGCGCGCTCGGCCGGGGGGCTGTGCCGGAGGGGGACCCCGTCTCTCTCCTCCGCACCGGGTGGGGAGGGGCGCACACGCACGCTGGGCGGACGCGGGGCTTCCTGGCTCGCCCATGCTGACCCGAGTGTTATTTTTCGTGAATTAATTTATTCTTTGGAGGAGGAGGAGGAGAGGGGCCCCGGGGGAAGAGGAGGGGCCGCTTCGCAGGGCTGAGGGTCTCCCTTGGCCCCACGACACCGCCTGGCCTCTTTCACGCAGAGTTCCAGAAGGAGGTTCTTGGGGGTCCAGGAACGGCCATGGACAGAGAGGCCACAAGTCCTGGAGCCACTAGTCTCCAGGATGCACGTGTATTCCTCCCCCACAACAGCCTGCCTCTGTCGCTTCCCACCTCCCAGTTCCCACCCCATAGTCCATCCAGTTCCCGCCCTGCAGAGAGCAGAGCCTCTGGGCCACACCAGGCTCAGACTGCCCGAGGGTCCCTCTCCCAGGGGTCAGGCTGGCTCTGGGAGACCCCAGCTTCCCAGGCTCCGGTGGTGAGTGGGTCGTGCGAGGGTCCCCTCATGAGGGTGGGCGAGGAGGGGGCAGCCGCGGCCACAGTCGGAGCAGAGGTGCCTTGGCAGAGGCCGCAGGGTGGGGGAGACAGCTCTCTGTCTGCTTTTCCTCCGACGCCGGCCGCGCTTGCTTTCAGGGTGCAGACCTGTCTGGCCACTCCTGCTCACCCTCTCGCTGAGGACTGCCACCCTGTCGCCCTTCTGTCCGGCCTCCTTCCAGCTAGGGGGTGACACGCCATGGCCGATGGCCGTGGCTTTGACGCCACGTGTGTAAATAGACTGTGGCTGTGGTCGGTGGGTGGAAGCCCAGGCCTCAGCAGCGGGTACCCGGCTGTGGCCTTTTGTGCCTCCCGGTGGCTGCAGGGCTTCCCTTGTGTGGTTACGTGGGTCCTTGAATGATTTCGGGGAGGTGGTTCCAGCTCGGAATGATGCAGAAATGATTCGACTTGAAGCAGGGGCCAGGCCGGGCCGGTGCCTTCCCATCTCCCGGCTGCTGCTGGGCACGGGGGTGGGGAGCGGGCCAGGGCACATCTGTGGGGTCCCCCGTTACCCCCTTTGCCACACACTGTCCCTCTTGACCAAGGAAGGTGGTGGAGCTGCTTCCCAGGCCTGGAGGAGCAGCCAGGCCGCTGCTGATATCCAGCGGGACACACTCCTGACCCCCCCCAGAGGGAGAGTGTGGGGCCCGTGGGGCTGGGTCCCTTCTGAGCCTGGTGTTGCAGAGATTCCGCTCTCTCCTGAAGCCGGGGCACCCAGGACTGAGGCTCCTCCGGCCGGGGAGGCAGGGAGGGTGCCCTGTGGGGAGAGAGGGAGCTTGCCCCCTTCTCTGACGCGTTCTCCAGGCCCCGTTCTCCCGGGGGTCCCCGTTTTGTAGCCCCCTGCACTGTTCCATATGTTAGTGTCTGAAGTTGACTGTGGGTAAATCTTTAAGACACCCCCCCCCAAGTGTGTTTGTTTATAAACGCTGTTTATAGTGCAATAAAGGTGTTTCGGGAATGCGGGGGTGGAGCTCGACTTGCCTGGCTCTTTAATAATGCGGGAGTTCTGCCGTGAACTCCAGGGAGGAGCTGGAGCGGATTCCAGTGAGGGCAGCAGGTGGGCGCGAGCCCGGCCCCTGAGAAACCGGCGCTGCCTGTCTACGCCCCTCAGGACGGGACCCCCGCCTCCACACGCCTCAGGACAACCCCTGAGGGGTGTGTGGCTGTGTCCCTGCGTGTGTGCTGGCGTGTGCACGTGTGAGCATGTGAGCTGCATGTGCACGTGTAACTGCTTGTGCGTGGCCATGTCCCGTGTGCTGGTGTGTGTCCGTGTAAGCACGAGAGCTGTGTGCGTGTGTAACTGCTGGTGTGTGGCTGTGTCCCCGCGTGTGTGCTGGTGTGTGCACGTGAAGGGAGGGCTGTGTATGCATAACTGTGTGTGCTTGTCTGTGTGTGATTGCGTGTGTGCTGGAATGTGCATGTAAACACGTGAGCTGCGTGTGCATGTGTAACTGCTGTGTGGCTGTGTCACTGCGTGTGTGCATGTGAACTGCCTGCGTAACTGTGGCTGTGTTCACTGCATGTGTGGCGTGTGCACGTGCGAGCACACAAGCTGTGTATGTGTAACAGCACTTGTGTGTGCCTGTGTTCCTGTGTGTGCTAGTGTGTGCACGTGAGCTGTGTATGCATGTGTAACTGTGTGTGCCTGTGTGTAGCTGTGTTGTGTGCTGATATGTGCACGTGTAATCATGTGAGCTGTGTATGCATACGTAACTGCTTGGGTGTGGCTGTGTTCACTGTGTGCTAGTGTGTGCACGTGTGAGCATGTGAGCTGCGTGTGCATGTGTAACTGCTTGTGTCTCCCCGCGTGTGTGCTGGCGTGTGTACGTGCGTGCGTTTGTGTGTGCTGGTTTCTGCGAGCCGTGGCTGCCCATGCCCTCCCTGCTCTTCCTTCCACGTGGGCGTCACCCGGGACGCTGCAGCTCCATGTCGTCTGGCCCACTGCCCCCAGGTCAGTCCCGACCCCAGCGGTGTCCGATGCTCTTGATCACTCCTGGTGGTTGCCGTTTGCTGCCTCGTGGTGCTGACCCTGGGCAGAGGGCGTCTACTGTGGGCACCGGCAGCATCCCTGGCACTGCAGAGCGGGTGCTGTGCGGTAAAGGCGGCATGTGCGCCTGCCGGCAATCTCTCCTTCCAGCCTGGCGGCCATCCTGAGTCTCCCTACCCTCAGGAAGGCCACGGGCACAGCCAGGGGGCAGCCCGTTTCGTGCAAATTACAAAAAGATGTCCCTTCTTCAGAGTGGAGCCATCACAGGGAACAACAGAGCTGAGAGATGAGGAGTCAGATGCCTGGTGACATTGTGGACACCTGGATCCAGCTACGCCTGAAGCCCAAAACCAAACCATTTCTGCTCAGAGGGTGGGCCAGTAAAGTCCCTTCTTTGCTCAAGGCGGCTTGATTTTTTTTTTTTTTTTGCTTTGTTTTGTTTTTTGGAGATGGACTCTGTTCTGTCACCCAGGCTGGAGTACAGTGGTACAATCTTGGTTCACTGCAGCCTCCACCTCCCAGGCTCAACCGATTCTCCTGCCCCAGCCTCCCAAGTAGCTGGGATTACAGGCACCTGTCACCACGCACGGCTAATTTTTGTATTTTAGTAGAGATGGGGTTTCACCACATTGGCCGGGCTGGTCTTGAACTCCTGACCTCAAGTGATCCACCCGCCTCAGCCTCCCAAAGTGCTGGGATCACAGGCGTGAGCCACTGCGCCTGGCTGATTCATTTCTCAAGTTGGCAGCCAGAGAACAGGGACCCATGAGCCTCCCATGGGAGGAGGAACATCACTGCCTGAGTCCGAGGTCAGGGAAACGGCGGAGAAGGAAGCCCCCGAGGCCTGGGCTTTCTGCATCCCAGAGCTGGGGAAGGTGGCCCTGGAGTGAGGGAGTGAGCCTCCTGCCACAAAAGTAATCAAGGAGAATCTTTTTTTTTTTTTTTCCCCGAGACAGTCTCACTCAGCTGCCCAGGCAGGAGGGCGGTGGCACGATCTTGGCTCACTGCAACCACCGTTTTCCAGGTTCAAGCAATTTTGTCTCAGCCTCCCGAGCAGCTGGGATTGCAGGCACCTGTCACCATGCCCGGCTAATTTTTGTATTTTAGTAGAGATGGGGTTTCACTGTGTTGGCCGGGCTGATGTTGAACTCCTGACCTCGGCTGATTCACCTGCCTTGACCTCCCAAAGTGCTGGGTTTACAGGTGTGAGCCAATGCCAAGGAGACCTTTGTGGAAGGAGCAGAATCTGAACTGAGGGAGGGAGCGGAGGGGCACTGGGGCATCGGGGGCGTCCCGGGGGGAGGAGAGGCTCCTGGGACCCGGCCCTGGTCATGGGCCTGCATCCCGTCTTCACACAGCAGCAGCCCATCTGCCCAAACAAAGCTGTGCCCCTGCGTCCACCACAGCCCCTGTTCTGGAACCTTCCATGGCCGCCTGTGGCCCCTACCCTGGCATCGGGATGCACCCCACACGGCAGCCCACCCACCTTTCCCAGGGCCCCTACCTTCTGGCATCTCATCTCTGGGGCCTTCAGACACTAACCCTGAGGTGTGGGGGGAGCTCGGAGGGTGAGTTTCAAGCCGCATCCTCCACGTGGGGCGTGGCCCGGGCGCCGCGCGGCTTGTCGGGGTCTCGGGCTCCCCAGGCTGCAGGCTGTGTCTGTGACGAGGCCTGGAGGCTTGTGCGTGGTGGAGCGAGACCCGGAGGCTTGCCGGCCGGAAGCAGACACGGAATAGCCACGATAATTGATATAATCACATCAGGGCTGTGATTAGCGGCGGCCTGAGACCCGCCCAGAGGGGACTCCCTCGGCCTCCCTGGACGGGGGCAGCCTGTCGCCGGGCACCCACCGCCCCAGTGCCTGATTCAATTAAGCTTTTGTTCTCAGCCCCTGGGGGTGGAGGGAGGGGCTGCCCACAGCCGGTTCCAGGACGGGAGGAGAAAAATGACTTCAATAAGGAGGAGGAGGCTGACCAGGGTGCTGCCCCTCCCCGCGGTGAGGGCAGGCGATTCCCACGGGCAAGCCCTGGGCCCCGGCTCTGGGTGACCAGCCCCAAGCCTCAGTTTACCCTCCCGTGCAGTGACATGTGGCCCTGGAGCCTCTCTCCAAGTCACACACAGGCAGTGCCTGATTAAGTCCTGCCTGGGGGGTTGCGCGGGAGGACCTGTGGAATCCTCACCGAGATGCTGCCCACCGCCAGCCACCCATGGAGAAACCGAGGCACAGGAGGCAGAGTGACCCGCGCACACCTCTCAGCTGGCAGGCCAGGACGTTGGGCAGGACTGGACCCACGTGCCCTTCCTGGGTGGGGCTGGACACCACTTGCAAGCGCCTTCCCCCGTGAGGCACTGGCTGTCCTGCCTTCCAGGTGAGAGGCTGACCACGGCCTGGGAGGGCCCAGCGTGCCTCGGACCCCCGTGAGAGCGTGACAGGCCCAGCCCTGCCTCTGACCCCCGTGAGAGGGTGACAGGCCCAGCCCTGCCTCCGACCCCCGTGAGAGGGTGACAGGCCCAGCCCTGCCTCAGATGCCAGGTGAGAGGGTGACAGGCCCAGCCCTGCCTCGGACCCCCGTGAGAGGGTGACAGGCCCAGCCCTGCCTCGGACCTCAGGTGAGAGGGTGACAGGCCCAGCCCTGCCTCGGAACCCCGTGAGAGGGTGACAGGCCCAGCCTCGGACCCCCATGAGAGGGTGACAGGCCCAGCCCTGCCTCGGACACCAGGTGAGAGGGTGACCATGGCCTAGGAGGGACCAGCCCTGCCTGGGACCCCGATGCTGCCGTGGCCCCACATACAGTGTGGAGCTGTGCCCTGCCAGTGTGGGTCAGAGTCCTGACGAGTCCCTCCATTCCCTGTGACTCGGTTTTCCCTGCCTGCTGGTGGGGCTGGGTGACCAGCACATGTGGCACCCGGTCCTGGCTGCCGGGACAGCCCGGCTGGAGCGCCACAGATGAGACCCACGCCTTCCCCCACGTGGTGAAGAATCCCGTCTTGCGTGGGGTGAGGTCTGGATGTTGCCTTGGCTCTGGGAGGTGACTTCTGTCCTGCCTTCGAGGAGCGTCTCGGTCCAGGGTTGGGAGGGCCACACCAGTCAGACCAACTGTGGGTCCCACAGTGTCAGACAACCTGGGACTTGAGGACAACCCCGTGGCAGGCAGTCAATCAGTCAGTCAGTCAGGCCCCCTCGAGGGTGTCCCTGTGGAGCTCTGGGTGCCCAGGCTGGCGCGCCCGTTCCTGGTTGTCGGTGCGTCCTGTGAGCCTGTGGTTCCCAGCTTCCTGGGACAGGTCCATGGTGGCTTCTCCCGGACACTGCCTCGTGGGCTCTTCCCCATTCGTGGGATCTCACCCTTGCCCAGGACATCTGGCTGGGACTCCTGTGCGTCCTTACAAATCTTGGGAGTGAGCATGGACTTGGGAAGCCCTGGACTGCAGCTGCTGTCGGGCCACTGCCCTCTGACCTTTCCGCGTGAGTCACGCCATGTCACCCCAGGCCACAGAGTCCCTGTGGCCTCCCTGGGCATGGGCCCTGTCCAGCTGTGGACACATGGCCCTTGCTCTCGAGCTCCCCTCGTTAACCCCAAAGCCCTGGACAGGCCACCCTTTGCCTGTGGCCTGGGTGGCTCAGAGGCACCCGTCCCCACCAGCCACTCTGTCCTCACCCTCCCCTCCCACCTGGGCTCCCCCAGCCAAGCCACAGAATGCTCCTTCCTCGTCTCCCAAAGGCACGGGACAGCTCAGATCAGGGACTGCAGCCCTAGCTCCCACACTCCCCACCAAGCACCCCGGGCCAGCCCCTCCCCGTCTGAGCCTCAGTTTCCCCCTGTGTAAATGAGGTGCCAAGTGTGCAGTGTTCTCTAGGCTTCGGGTGATGGCAAATTTGAGCTTTCAAAGCCCTCACGGCGTAAACCTCATTCAGTTGTGAGCTGCCGTGGGTCAAAGGCGTGCTCGTGTGACCGAGAAACAGCAGG